GAAGAACAAATCTGTTAATGTAGCCTTCCAAAGAGCTCCTTATTTCAATTTTTCCTCTATAGACCTTGTTTAAACCCCCCAGTCTCAGACTTTTTGTCTGTAACTCTTTTCCTTCCTTCCTTCCTTCCTTCCTTCCTTCCTTCCTTCCTTCCTTCCTTCCTTCCTTCCTTCCTTCCTTCCTTCCTTCTTTCCTTCCTTCCTTCCTTCCTTCCTTCCTTCCTTCCTTCCTTCCTTCCTTCCTTCCTTCCTTCCTTCCTTCCTTCCTTCCTTCTTTCCTTCCTTCCTTCCTTCCTTCCTTTCCTCAGTGCTTTTGGACAAACTTAGGGCTTCTTGCATGAGACACAGACACTCTACCATTAAGGTACTTACTGGTACTGGAGTTTGAACTTAGGGCCTTAAACTTGCCAGGCAGTTTCTCTACCACTTGGTTCACATCTCCAGCCCTTTTTGCTTTTGTTACTTTTTGAATTGCCTCTCAGTTTGGTCCAGCCTGAACCACAGTCCTCCTATTCACAACATTCTCAGTTTTTTATTCGTTTAGGTATAGGTCTCACAAATATTTTGCCCAGACTGACCTCTGATTGCAATCCTGCCAATGTCCACTTCCTGATTGATTAAAATTACAGGTGTGAGTCACCATGTCCTGCTGCCTCATTCTTATGTTTAAGTTCTCCCTTTTCCCCAAGTTAGTATTTACTATTTGTCCCCCTTTCCTATCCTCATTCTGGGCCTTAACTCTGTGTTGCCTAAATTGATCTATAGCCTGCTCTCTGATTTCTGGTCTCTAGTTTTCCTGTTGTCTAACCAATCCTACATTTCTTTCTTTCTTCTTTTTTTTTTTTTTTTGGCCGACTGTGGGGCCTGATCTCTGGGTCTTGGCACTGTCCCTGAGCTATTCAGCTCAAGGCTAGCGCTCTACCACTTGAGCCAATGCGCCACTTCCAGCATTTTTGCTTATGTGGTGCTGAGGAATCGAACCCAGGGCCTCATGCATGTGAGGCAAGTATTGAGCCACTTTCCTAGCCCCCTCAATCCCATATTTCTAAAGAGTCCCTTTAACCAACTGTCTTCCTTCTCCAATTCTTCTTGAAATGAATTCTAATCATATTATCTTCCCTTCCCTACTCTTAGCATTGAAAAGCCTCTCTACCTTATCTCTACACATGTTTTTTTTTTTTTTTTTTGCTGGCCCTGGGGCTTGAACTTAGAGCCTGGGCTCTGTCACTGAGCCTCTCTGTGCTGAAGGCTAGCACTCTACCACTTGAGCTACAGTGCTACTTCTGGCTTTTTCTGTTTATGTGGTACTGAGGAATCAAATCCAAGGTTTCATGATGCTAGGCAAGCACCCTACCACTAAACCACATTCCCAGCCTTTACACATGATTCTTGTGCTGACATTCCAAAACTAAACTGGTAGAGTAGATTTATTCTTTCACTGTTTCTATAAACGTTCTGTTTTCCTGTTACTCTGTATTTCTTATCCCAGTTCTCCTCCTCAGGACTTTACCCTGCCCCAGTCCCTTGGCAATAATAAAATCTTATCCATTTTTCAAGATTAGTCTCAAATTTCCTATCTATTAACTCTTCTCTGGGGATTCTAGCGTATTTACGTTTCATTCCTTGAAGTTTTATACAATTTTGCTTTATTCATCTGTAGGTCAATCATGCATTGCAACATCTATAAAAACAACTTATCTTAAGCTGGGTGCTGGTGGCTCACACCTGTAATCCTAGCTACTCAGGAGGCTGAGATCTGAGGATTGTAGTTCAAAGCCAACTCCAGCAGGAAAGTCTGTTAGACTCTTGTCTCCAGTAAACCACTCAGACAACTGGAAGTGGCACAATGGCTCAAGTGGTAGAGCACTATCCTTGAGCTGAAAAGCTGAGGGACAGCGTTTAGGCCCAGATTTCAAGCCCCATGACTGACAAAAAAATTTATCTTGATCACTATCATGTAATGGTTTCTTTTGTGTGTATTTTGTCTCTCCAACAACCTAAAAGCTCATTGGGGCCAGAAGTCAGAATACCTTCTTTTCACTCTCTAGGGTACAGAAGTGAGCACCTAGTAGAGGCTGTCTCAGTAATGTATGCTGAATAATTTCCAATAGATTATCCAATTATGTTGTCACTACTTTGATAGACCACTAAATCCATGATTAATCTTTCCACATCCTATTTGTCAGGCATTGGTGGTGACAGAGGGTAGAAGGAACTGTCAGAGATAAGGTATATCTCAAAGAAAACCTATGTAGCTATTTAAACCTCAAGCAAGATGAATTGCCACAATGCTTATGGTGAGATATTTTTCTATCAGCTAAATTTTATGTTCCACAGAGGTAGTGATTACAACCTGATACAACTCTCCTAAGAGAGTTAAGCAGGAAGATTTTTTTCCCTTTTAACTTCATGCTGGGTAGTCAATATGTAGGCATTTAATTCAATGGAGTCAGGAATAGCACATCAATTCTCTGATGACATTCTATAGCATTTTTTGCATTCCTGAAGCAATAATTGAAATTAAAAATATACTTTGTGACCTTTTATGCCAAACTGGAAAATGTTATGTGATTCTTAAGAAGCATTTCAGTTTGAACAGAAGTAATCAAGGGAAAGACAGAAATTCCAGAAATGAGAATGGAAACGAAGTATAGAATGCACAACTCTTTGTGATTACCTCTAATGCTATGTCATATTGTCCACATTGCCAGATAGAGGATGTGCTTCTCAATCAGGAAAGAAAGAATAAAAATTACAAAAGAATTAACTGCTAAATGCTAGTTATGTGAAAAACACCAGATACTGAGCAAAGGATCTCTCAATGAAATGTGTACATTATGGGCCTGGGAAACCTTGACCATATGGCATGTTCCCATATCATAGGGTAGCAGAGTATATAGTTATGAGACTAAAAAGCCCAAGACCTGAGAAGTCCTACATATGTGGGGATAGATGGCTCATCTCAATGTTATTATTCTTTTATTTCTAAGCTCATTTTTAGTGAGTCACAGTGCAGGATGCTCTGTCCCAAATGCCTCTAACAATTATCTGCCCTCTGCTAGTTATTTAAGCTTCAGGATCTTTTTCTCCTTGGCATTACTAGGAATAGGACCTAGGGACTTGTGCATGCCAGGCAAGTACTCTGCCACTGAACTATGCCCCCAGGAAGACATCAGAATCTTTTAAAGTTTGTATTTATCTTCCCTTTTTTCCCTAAGACCCTAAAAGAACTTTGCTTTAGGATGAACCATGCATCATTCCCTCTCCAAACTCAGTCATTTATTCATTAAAGATATTTATTGAGCCTCTGTTTTGTGCTGGACACTTTCCTTCCTTCCCTCCCTCCCTCTCTTCCTCTTCTTTTCTTTCTTTCTTTCTTTCTTTCTTTCTTTCTTTCTTTCTTTCTTTCTTTCTTTCTTTCTTCCTTTCTTTCTTCCCTACTCTCTCTTCCTTCCTTCCTTCCTTCCTTCCTTCCTTCCTTCCTTCCTTCCTTCCTTCCTTCCTTCCTTCCTTCCTTCCTTCCTTCCTTTCCTTCTTTCTTTCTTTCTTCTTCCTTCCTTCCTTCCTTCCTTCCTTCCTTCCTTCCTTCCTTCCTTTATATTAGCCCTAGAGCTTGAACTCAGGGCTTGAGTGCTGTCTCTGAACTTTTTTCCTCCTCAAGGCTAGTGTTCTACCATTTGAGTCAGAGTTCCATTTTCTGGCTTATTTTTGTTTGATTTACTAGTTAATTGTAGATAAGTCACATAGATTGCCTGGGATGGCCTTGAAAAACAATCCTCAGATTTCAGCCTCCTGAGTAGCTAGATTACAGGTGTGAGCCCACCAGTGCCTAGCTATATTCTGGACATTTTAATTTTGCTTTTTTGGGGGGGGGGGGTCCGATCGTGGGGCCTGAACTCTGGGCCTGGGCACTGTCCCTCAGCTCTTCAGCTCAAGGCTACTGCTCTACCACTTGAGCCACAGTGCCACTTCCGGCTTTTTTATTTTTGCTTATGTGGTGCTGAGGAATTGAACCCAGGGCCTCTGGCATGCAAAGCAAGCGCTTTACCACTGAGCCACCTTCCCAGCCCCTATGCTGGACATTTTAAAAATGAAAATTAGTTGCCTTTACTGTGCTAGAAACAATATTATAATATTATTGGCATTTCTTCATATAGAAGTTAGCTTTTAGTAACTAATTGCTTTGGTATGACAAAACCTAAAACTAGCTTCATTGTCTCCAGACTAGTTTCTTCTTACTGATCTTACACAGCTATATGTGCTGGACATGTTTCTAAGTTAATAAATGATATAAAATCTCCCTCTTGGAACTTATATAACTATACAAATATAAAAGATCAGGCTGAAGGCAGAACCAAGAGTTTAAATGGTACCAATATTGTTAGGGATCAGTGACCAGAGATTTGATATTGTCAGGGAGGAAAAAAAGAACCCTGATAAGCTTTTGGGAGGACTGCATGTTATTCTTCCTTCTACATTTGTGAAGGGGGAAAATAAGAAAAATAAGATTCCTTGCATAGTAGTTAAGGTCATAAGCTTTGGAGTCACACAGACTGGGTCTAAAATCTGGTTCTGCTACTGAATATTTATTGCATATTAATTGGTTCCTTCCTCTTTCTGAGATGCAGTTCTCTTGGTTGTTACTATAGTCATTCAGCAGACCCAATTCAAGACCACTGGTTGTAGCTTTGTTAACATACGGGCATCTAAGGTAGCTTCTCACATATCTTTTGAGTGCTTCATTCCTTGGTCATATGGTGACATCTACATATCAAGTGGATGTGTACAGAAATATCTAAGTTGCAAATTTATCAAGGTTTGAGTCTAAGTGAGTTACCTTTATTCATGAATAGTTCTAAACAAGTTCCCTAATGTTATCTATAATTTCAGACCAGATTGTATCTGCTTCCATTTTATTTTTTCTCTGTTTGAAAAGTGGCTTAACTAATGTAATTAAGTATTAACACATGAAAATTATATGCATTCTTTATACTTTCCCTTACCTTGCGAACTTCTCCTTGTTGGACAGTTTTTAAGATATTAATCCATTCTTCCATGTCTTTTCGGTTGGATGCGGCCAGGGTGACTTTTCGTTCTGGTGTAATAACCTGAAAAAAATCATATTATTAGTTGATTCTCATTCCATGGCATTTCCCCCAAACAGAGTCTGTGTGCTCCCTTAGGAACTAGACATATCTACCAAGCACATCCCTAATCTCTTCTTCAATATAAGACACAAATTCTCAGGGCCATTCATAGCAACTTAGATAGCCATCTAAAAAGGATAATAATGATAATAATTAAGACTTTAATAGCCCTTTCTGTGTGCCAGGAAATATTCAAAAGCACTTTATAGGTATATTATTTAAATCCAACTTCATTACAACCTAATAAAGTAGGTATTGTTATTTTTCCCATTTTATAGCCAGGAAAAAACTAGACAAAGAAACTTAAATGATATGCCAGGGTCACTCAACAGGTAAAAAGCTAAGCCATCATTGAAAACCAGATTTTTTGGTCTTTGAATCCATGTTCTTACATATTATGCCATGTACTTACTATTTATTATCAAAACTGGGTTGCTGCTCTGTCTACCTGAAGTAGTAAAAGTTAATTTACTTCATTAAAGTTTGTCTCTTTCTGTTTGGGGAGAAAAATGAGATGTCTCTAAGTCCAGTTTCTAGATTTCTTATGGAAAGAGACAACCTGAAGAGATTTTACAGTGGTCTCAATCCTAGAGAGAGAGGCATAAACCAATATAGAATATAAGAAAGCCAGGCTGAAGGTCTAGCATACACATGGTAAACTTGGTCTTTTCTAACTATGGAATGTCATTGCATTGATGCATCTATTTGTTTTTATCACCAATGCCTCACCTCCCCAACAAGCAAGTTTATTTTTCCTTTCTCATGCAGCACAGGGTAAGTATATTGGGATCATGATCATAGACTTCTTTGGTCCTGACTCATTCTTATTTGGGGATAATGGACGGTGCTTCTGTGTTTTCATTAGACTAAGAGAAAGCCTAAGCCTTAGATTTCTAAGTGGAATAGAGACCCAAGACATTAGCCTACAGGCTCTTCATTCAAAGGTGCCGATTAGGGGGAGACCAGTCAAGGAAACCCCCAGTTTTATCCTGGGCCAATGTGATGTAATGAGATAAAAACAAAAGCTGAGGCTCTCTCTTCAATTTAGCTGCTCTCATTTCAAAGGATAGAACATGGGGTAGCCCTAGAAAAAAGGCACAGAGTCTGAGACCTTTTGATATGCTAAATTATCCCTTTCCTACACAAAGGATAACACTAGTCAGTTTTGGATGAGTTGAGTAAGAGAGTCCTAGGTCTATGGACTCACTATTTATCAGAGTTTTATGGTCTTGAGTTCACTTGAATGACTCAAACCACATGATATTTTGAGCACAATAAGCCCTGAATACTTTCTTAGAAAATCCTCTGCTTTCTTTGAGGTACTCTTTCATTATTAATCTCAACATGGAATAGATTTTAGTTTGTATTTAGACTCTTATCTAACTCATCAAAGGAAAAGATGTCATGTAACTTGATTATCCTGATGTTTTCTATGGCATGTTAGTCTCTTGAAAGCCTCTCAGTGATACTCTTCTAAATCACCTTTAGCAGGAAGACTGAATTTTATAATGGTCACAAATTCCTTAAACCCCTGAAATCAGCTTAGTTTTATGTTAGGCTACTAATATGGAACAAGGCCATTACTTTCTCCCTCTATCAGTAGACTGGTAGACATTTGTCTGAATAATGACACTTTATGATAGAAGACGACTTGGGAAGCTTGATGTCCAGATGTAACAAGTTGGTATAGTAATCCACTTACTGGATTGCCTAACCACTGTGGTTGCCTAGTTAGCCCTTACTCAAGTCTTTAGTCATTCCAAATCTTACTTACACAAAAACTGTGGCAAAGATTTCTACAGCTGCTTTCTGCCAAGGTGACTTGCGAAAGATCAATTGTTTCAAAGTGTACAAACTGGAAAAATATAAGAAGGAAAGGGAAAAGAGACAATTTGGTTAACTGGGCAAATACAGACATTAAAAAGGGAAACACATACATACATACATACATACATGCATACATACATACATACATACTCACACACACTGAAAGGGCATTTTAGGGCAGTCATGATTTTTTTTTGGTCTTGAGGGCTGGAATTTATTTAGCACCATTATTTTTGTGGATATATTTTGTGACAAAAAAACTAAAGTACAATATTCTCAAATCTTTTATGTGGATTTATAAGGAATGTTTAGTTGGTCAGCTCAGAATTAGTCAAATATAAAGGTTAATTCTAGAGAAGATAATAGAACATTGTCTAGCAAAAATGCCTAGTAGTATAGATTGTTATTGATTCCTATTATTTTGAGTGGCAGCTTTTGATTATATTGCTTGTCTTATTTAGTGTATGCCTCTATCACTTTATACATTGGATGTAATAGATACTACCCAGCCAGCAGCATGAAATCAGTACTACCAATATACACAGAGCTAGTTTCAGCAGTCATCTCTGCAGTCACATAGGATCCTGTGTTCAGAGGGCCTCACACTTGGTTTGGTGTTCTGCTATCATCATCTTCAAATTCTTTTATTTTTTGTCCATTGTGAGGCTTGAACTCTTTGCCTGAGTGCTGTCCCTCAGCTCTTCAGCTGAAGGTTATCGCTCTACCACTTGAGCCACAGCACCACTTCCGGCTTTTTCTGCTTATGTGGTACTGAGGAATAGAATACAGGGCTTCATGCATACAAGGCACTCTACCACTGAGCCACCTGCCCAGCCCCCATTTTCAAATTCTTACTAATAATTTTATCTTTGAGCTTGTACTTTATAAATGAAGTCCAACGAGACAACGAGCCATGCATATGAGCATAGGAGATAGGGCTCAATATGCTTGTCTATCTACATGTCTTCCTCATTACATTTGCATTTATGAGTATAAAAAAATCCAGTAGAACTATTACACTGGGAATTTAGTGTTGCAGCCATGTTTCTAGGAAACATTAACAACCAGGGAATCCTATTGAGAATTTTTCTTCCTAATGTTTCTTCCCTGTGTCAGCCAATCATTTATGCTATAGTGTTTTAACTTCCATCTTATTATTTGTCAGTATACCTTTACCTATTTGTTCTCCCAATCCACTCATACACTTCTTGGCATCCACTCACTAACTCAAGTGATAAGATTCTATGTATTACCGCGGGATGATGTGCAAAGTAGAGCTTCTGTCCTTGAACTAAGAAATATCTAAGTTTCCATCTTTTGAAGGAGGTGCAGTTCTTCAGCAGAGGTCCTTCCTTCAATATTTTCTGAAAGATAAGAATCAAAGCAGTTGATTGATTAAATCAGTTTTCAAGACCGTATTACTTGTTCTCTCAGGTAGAAAAATAGTTATCTATAAGACTGCATCTCTAGGCTGGGAAGGTGACTGAGTGGTAGAGTGCTTGTCTTGCATGCATGAGACTCTGGGTTTAGCTCCTCAGCACCACATAAGCAGAAAAAGCCGGAAGTGGCACTGTGGCTCAAGTGGTAGAGCACTAGCCTTGAGCTGAAGAGCTGAGGGACAGTGTCCAGGTCCAGAGTTCAGGCCTCATGACTGACAAAAAAAAAAAAAAAAAAAGACTGCATCTCTGTCCCATGGGCTAAGAGTAAACACAAGGAAGTTAGCTCTACCATAAAAAGCATTATTTACCCACATATAACACATTTAAAATGATCTAAGCTTCAAGTATCTTAGGATACATGGCCCAAGAACTGTGGAGAACACCTCCATTCATGGTAGAACATAAGAGGGAGAAACCTAGACATAAATATAAAAATAACACTTCTAGGACATATTTTTTCCAAAGTACCTGGGTTATTATCTCTAGAATAGGGTCTTCCTATCAGCTCTTTTACAGTACCTCTTTTAGAATATTAAATGGGATTATGTCCTTTCCCTGCTTCTAATCCTCCAATAGCTTTCTAATACTTTTAGAACCAAATATAAAGTCTTTACCAAGGCCTTTAGGGGACTCATGATCTTGTTAAAGAATTGGCACATTAAAAGAACTCCAAATGACACCTTCTTGTAGCATTCTTTACATAACTCCTAGGCCACTGATTTTGAAGTTACCTGCAAAACAGACTGTCCTAATGAAATATGGAATACACTTACCACTTTCACAATTGAATACATTCTCTGTTATGTTATAGGATACAAACTAACATAGCATGGATACAATTTGGAAGAAATAATCAATCCCACCAAGTCCAAAACAAGCCTACACTAACTAGACAAAGTGCCAGATATGTAAATCTCCACATCAATTCTTTTTTCTTTTTACCTGAGTTTGCCTTTATTCTTTTTTTAAATTTTATTTTCTTGTAAAGATACTGTACAGAGAGGTTACAGTTACATGAGTAAGGTGATGAGTACATTTCTTGTCAAGCATTGTTACTCCCTCCTTTGTTTTTCTCCTATCCCTTCCCTCCCCCACCCTCCACTACCCCCGCCCCCTGAAGTTGTAAAATTCATTTCCAACATAGTGTCTTGTGAACATTGTTGCAATGGGTCATCCTGTGTCTTTGTTTCAGCATTTTGTTATTCCCTTTCCCCTCCCCAAATTAGATAGATGCAAGGTACCAAAATCAAATACAGTGACAACAGGGATATACCATAGGAGGAAGAACATACAAAACAAACAAAAAAAAAAATCACATAGTACATTAAAAACAACAACAAAGAAAAACCTCTTGTATCCATATCTTGGGGTTCATTTCGCTTAGCATCATTTTATATGGTCATATGTACATAGCTTTTGGGATTTTCTGTTCATCTGATAAGATTATCTTAGACATATACTAATTATTGCAAATAAGGGAAACCATGGGATCTATATTTTTTGGGTCTGGCTTCACTTAATATGATTTTTTTCCAAGTATTTCAATTACCTAACTAATGAGGTGGTGTTATTCTGTCTGATGGAAGCATAGAAATCAATTCTTTACCATGAATTACCCCTATCATCTAAATTAGAATTCACTACTGCATGACTTCAGAAGTGTTTTGCTTGGCTTACCTAATATTTTTCAAAGATTTTAATTAGTTGATATTTTAAAGGTAGAATATTTCATATAAAGTTTAGATTTCCTGTTTATTTAAAATATCAAAAAATCCAACAACAGTGCATTCTCATATGACAACAATGTGATTCAACTATATAGCAGTTGCTCTCCTCAGATGGAATGCCTGACTCAGTAGGCATTTGAATTTGAGACCCTGATCTAAGCAATTATTTGCCATTCCCATTGCCCCCATACAGACACACATCTATATATTCTGGTTCTCTAGCCAATTAAATAGCACTAATGGACAGAATCCCTGTATGTCAACTTATCCATCAGTTCATGACCAGTCACAATTTGCCTAAGTCTTTGTGATAACTTAGGAGAGTTTCAAGGTTATTGTTCTGCTCTCAAGATGCAAAAGAATGGAGCTGAGGAGAGGGACAGAGAACAATAAGACCTTGAGGGAGAACTGGGTACCTATGGCTCATACCTATAATTCTAGTTACTCAGGAGGCTAAGGTCTCAGGATCCTGGTTTGAGGTCAGACCAGGCAGGAAAGTTTGTGAGACCCCTATCTCCAATTAACCATCGAAAAGCCAGAACTGGAACTATGGCTCAAGTGGTAGAGTGCTAGGGACAGTGCCCAGGTCCTGAGTTCGAGCCCTAAGACTGGCAGGGGAAAAATACGATCTTGGGGAAAAGGAAGACATGGCATAGAGAGTGAGAAATTGTATTTAAATGGTTGAAATTGAGGTATCAATACGAAAACAATACATCTAAGCATAATGAATATGTTTTCTTTCCTGTCTCTTGCCAGGTGACCTATAGTAGACTATTTAAATGAGGGCATTATATTTTCTCTGTTCTAACTCTCTCACTTCTGCCATATTATCATCCACATTAAGTCTTTGTGATACCCAGAAGGTCATATTTACCCCATTCTGTTAAATACTTAAATTAAAAAATTTAAATGTTTCACTTCTATTATAAACTGAAGCCACACCCATTATTTCTGTCCTTTCCCTCAAATTATTCAGCTCTGTCAATAATTAAATACTTTCACAATTCTTATTTTGTCATATATGATGCATTAGTAGTATGCTTGTTTTATTGTTTCTGGTCAGCTATTTGTCCCTTCTATATAGTTTCCTTTTAATTACCACATATTAATATAAAAAGTAAGAGGTCTTATTGTGATTATCAAAGCATGCATATAATATATTTTAATCATGTTCACCCTCCATTATTCTTTCCCCCTTCCCTTAGCTTTCTCTTTCTCCTTCCCAGTAATCCTCCTTTTACATTCATGACCTTGTTTTTTACCCCTAGCTTCTACAAATGAGAGAAAACGTGATATTTTTCTTTGTAGGACTGGCTTATTGCACTTAGTATGATGAGCTCTAATCCTATCCATTGTCCAAAAAACTACATAATTTTATTCTTCTTTATGGCTCATAAAACCATTGTGTGTATATGCTACATTTTATTTATTCATTAATCTATTAACAGACACTTAAGCTAGACCTATACCTTGGCTGTAAACTATAGCTTATGAACAGTGCTGGAATAAATGTAGGTACTTATAAAACCTTCCTTTGATTTTCAGTTTAAAGCCTATAACTCAGATTGACAGATATCTATACAATTACATTCTCTTCTGAAAGGTACCCTCCCTTATAGAACCTATAGAGCAGTAAGCCAAGATCTCCTATGTTGTAACCTGTGAATATGATAGCCCAAGAAGACTGAGATTTTAGCTTAGGCATATCCCAAGCTCTTTCAAGATATTACTATAAGGAAGAAGGAGAAAAATGATATATTTCTTTAAGTTCCTATGTTATTTACAATTAGACCACATCTCCAGAAAACCATACATAACAAGGACTTCTCAATAACCCAGCCTCCCATCCCTATGTCAGGGGACCTTAGCCAAGCTCTACAAATCAAGGGGTCATTACAGGTAACAAAACCTTAGAGGAGCAATTTTTCAATATATCATTATAACTAATGATAAACATGAAGTCAACTCCAATAAGAATTATATTGTGGGGCTGGGCATAATTGTACATGCTTATAATCACAACTACTTGGGTAGTGGAGGAAGAGGAGGTAGAGGGATGGAGGTCCAAAGTCCAAGCCCAGACAAGGAAAATGTGTAAGACCCTATCTGAAAAATAAAGCAAAAATACTAGGGGCACTTTCCTAGTAAGCACAAGGTCTGAATTCAGGCCCCAGTACTGCCCCTAAAAGATACATATTACAAGCTCTAGAGCAACTATCAAGAAAATAACTTTAAAACTTTGTTAAACTAGGAACCAGTAGCTCATGCCTGTTATCCTAACTCCTCAGGAGGTTGGGAGCTGAGGATCATAGTTTGAAGCCATCTGGGGCATTTTATCTCCAATTAACCACAAAATAAACAAGAAGTAGAACTCTGGCTTAAGTAGTCAAGTGCTAGCCCTGAGCAGAAAAGCTCAGGGACAGCACCCAGGCCCTGAGTTCAAGCCCCAGAACTGGCACACACACAACCACCATGAAATGCCACTTATTAGAATGGCTAAAATCCAACATGTTGATAATACCAAATTCTGGCAAGGATGTAGAGCAACAAAGACAGTCATTTATTGCTGGTAGGAATGGAAAATAGTACAGCCAGTTTGGAAGACAGTTTAGCATAAAATTTACCCATTGCGATCTTTGGTGTTTATCCAAATGCACTGAAAACATGTTCACACAAAAACCTGTGTATAAAGTGGGAACTGGTGGTCCTAGCTACTCAAAAGAGGCTAAGATCTAAGGATTTCTGTTCAAGGTCAGCCTGGGCAGGAAAGTCCAAGAGATTCTTATCCTCAATTAACCACCAAAAAGCCAAAAGTGGAGTTGTGGCTTAAGTGGTCAAGTGTTAGCCCTGAGCAGAAAAGCTCAGGGACAATGTCCAGGCCCTGAGTTCAAACCCCAGGATTGGTAAAAAAAAAAATCTACTCACAATAGAAGTTTTACTCATAATTATCTATCCAAGTGTTTCTGTGTAAAATTTGTGGTTTTCCAACAGTAGTAACTTATTGAAAAATTTAAATATCTGTTTGTTTGTGTTTCTAGTACTAGGGTTTGACTCAATAGTCTCACATTTGCTAGGCACATACTTTACCCTTGAGCTACACTCCTATTTCTTCTTAACTTTAGTTGTTTTTTTTTTTTCAGATAGGGTTTCTTGTTTTGCCCAATTTGCATCAGACCATTATCATCCTACCTATTTCTC